TTGTAATATAAAGACCTTCAAACTTCCTACTATTTTCCTTGGTTTTTCAATAGTTTCTAGCTGCAGCGTTAATTAGTTCGCCAGTAGATTGTACATTTCTTTCGTTGTTATTCCTTTCTATTATTGTGATGTACACGCTACGATGGTGTAACAACTTGCATTATCATTGTATTGAATGACTGCTATCGTTATCTTTGTTACCTTTGTTACAGTTAATAATCAATAATATGCACTTGTAATAAATGTAGATTTTTTTTATTCAGGGTTAAAATACTTGCATTCAACGTTCATAGTAATTAGTTCCCTTTAAAGTTAAAATCTTCAGCATAGAAAGCTAAAAAAATATTTTGCGTTCATTTGTTAACGGAGATACAAAGCCTTAAAAACTAATGTCTTAGTACATCAGAAAAAATTAAACGATGGTTTCGCATCAAATACTTTGTTGCTTTTACCAAGCATTTTTGTAACGGCTATATTTATTTTCTGAGACATATCAGGTAATCTCCTGTTTATTCGTTTACATGTGTATTTGCCTGATAATCAAGTGTTTTAAATCTAAGAAAATCCCGTTTACTTATCTCTTCTGTATTTTATGCCGTTTTGTCCTGAAAAAAAAACATTTCAAGAAACAATAATTGATACCCTCAAGCTCGAAGAAGTATTTTACTGTTGGACGTTAAAAAAATATTTTCTGAAGGGTGGACTTATATATGTACCTTCGCTTATATCGGTCGTATGTTCACAATCTTTATCTTTGAGTTGCACACCTTACCGATCTCAAATAGGGTGTGAGCAAAACGTGGGGATTTGTTTGTTTGTCTTTTGTAATAAAAGTACCACAACTACTTTGTTTGAGTTGTGTCTTCTTGAGTGTAATTTACCTAACAGTCCTTTGGTTTTCCTTGACTCATGGAAAGGTCATTGGCTGTGTGGAAAGATTAATTTGTTGTCAGGTAAACCCATATCTACATATTGATTGCATCTTAAATTAAGTATTCATTTACAGACCATACGGCCTCCCCCTATATATATATATATATATATATATATATATATATATATATATATATATATATATATATATATATATAGTTTCCTTTATTTCTTTGTTAGTACAAACGTTTGTATGCTTTCATCCATCCATATAACTTAAGCATTTCACAAAAAGGTTGTCTGGAGTGAATTAGTTATAACTCGGATAGATTGAATATTGATTCGAATTAGATTAGTCTGAATTTCGCAGCACAATTTTCTTTATTATTGAATAAACGTTTTGTTGGCGATGTTAGAAATGTAACCTTTTGAAATTTAACATATTTCTTTAAGACAAAATGAATGCTGCTATTTATCACATTGTTTTTGTTATCTCTTTTCCATTCAGCAGATATGATTAGAAGTGTTTCATCGAAATCATTCTGCAGTTCTGCGTGATTTTAGATTGCATGACGGTTTGTTATAGATTTTTTTTCTAGCATTGACTATCATGACGGGAATACAATCATTTCAAGTAATTTCGCTATACAATCAAATCGGAAACATTTCGCTCTTTGCTTCCACTTTAAATAATGTGTAACACTGGAATCATTTTTGTGGCATACCGTACAAAGAAGATTCAGTTTTTAAATTTTAGTTTTTCAGTTATCTTGGCATGTCTGAGCCTAAGATAACTTAAAAGTAATTTTTCCTAGCATCTAATACTGATAACTTTATTCCTGTTTTGTAAAACATGTTTTACGTCTAAGATTGGAATGATTCTTTTTCATGTTTTAACATAGTATAGTCTATAATATGAATTATATCACCATCAGCAAACTACCCGTAATAACATAACCGCTCAGGTGGCCTATAGGTTAGAGCGTCCGTATCGGATGCAGGAGGTTGCGGGTTCTATCCCCGGCCCAGTCATGTCAAAGGCTTACAAAAATGGTACTAACAGCTGCCTCGCTTTGCCCTCAGCATTAAGAAGTCTGTGTTAAGACTGGACGGCCTGGTGTCAGCATAATGTGACTGGGTGGGACATCATGTTACATATCTGCAGCATGATGCCCCAGTGCTAGACATCACTATAAACTGCCACCCTGCAGACATTGTAGTGATATGACTGAACAATTGTTGAAGCTACGTTACAAATCCAAATCACTCACACCCCGTTCTAACACGCTATAGTCTTCACTATGAATTACGTCACCGTCAGCAAAGTTCATGAATTAGCACAGTATAGTCTTCACTATGAATTATTTCACCATTATCAAACTCTTGTCTTAACACATTATCGATTTCAGTATGAATTATGTCATCATCAGCAAACTCCCCGTGTTAAGACAGTAGTCTTCACTATAAATTACGTCACCATCAGCAAAACTCCCTGTGTTAACACAGTATAGTCTTCATTATGAATTGTCAACATCAGCAAACTCCCCGTGTTAAGACAGTAGTCTTCACTATGAATTACGTCAACATCAGCAATTTACGTGTTAACACAGTATAGTCTTCATTGTGA